CTGTTTAGAAAGAGAGACATCACAGAATCATATTTGACGGAATATTAAAATATAACTTTACCAAATTGTCCTCCATTCTTGCCATTCACCCCCCTTCTCCTATTCTCACATTTCCATCCCCTGTTTCTCAGTTCATCCAGTATCCAGAACAGCTGCTACAGAACGATTAATACCTGGACATCATCTAATATGCTTAATATTTTCTTCGACTCACCCGCTTTACAGAGCTTTAATTCCTTAGCAACTAATCAACAATCTGTGTTCTCTTCCACTTGAATTCACCATTAATACGCCTCTGACTGTTTCCCCGATAATACCCAATACCACAATGAACGTCTAACTACTTTAGATTACAAATCTAGTTACGCTTAGCAAATAAGGGTTTATTTGAATTTGCTTATTTTAAGTGCTTATAAATACTTTTACATAAGCTGAAACAAAAATTCTCTTCACTTATTTACTTTGTATTCTATAAGTCATTATTAAAGAGTTGCTTATAAGCTATTCCAAACAAGTTGTAATTCAGATAGCACCTGAAGGCTCTTTTGGAAAAAATTGAAAAGGGTGGCACTGACTAGCCTGCTGATTTCGCAGCCAAATTGACACCATCTCTTAATTCAATTTTAATTTATTAGAATTTACATTCAATATAATCACACCGTAATCTGGCTTTTATATTTATGACTGGAGGTAGTATTTTGTTTTGCTTACATTTGATCAAAAGCATCCCAACATTTCCTTGTTCGTGGAATTTATGTATTACAAGTTGGGACTAAAAAAGTAGCACATATATCTTTATCAGAAAAGAAAAATAAATTCTTAGATTTACAGTCATTTGAATTGATATTTACAACTTATTTTTCAGAAATATTTGTCAAGAATTATTAATTCGTTTTTTGGACCTTACTGCGGCATATCATTAAATTACTTTTAAGGTGTTCGACTGTCATTGCAAATGAAAGAACAACTCAGCAATCTGTCGTTTTGTCACTATTTCTTGTAAAATGTAAGGAATGATTTTCCAAAGCATGAAAGTCTAGTGGGTTGAGAGCCAACCCCGGCATTTTTAGTCAAGAAGCTTAAGTTGAAATTTCAAATTCAGAAAGTGGTGATCTAAGAGCTAATTAATCAAGTTCAACTAGAAAGTCAAAAGGTCTTCTTATGGTTCTCCAAACTTTCTTCCAAAAACTTGTCGAAGTTCTTCTTCACAATATAAACTTATTATTTTTAAAAGTGAAAATGAGAAATTTGTGTTGAATTCTATATCCTAATTAATCATTATGTGCACTGTATAGAGTTTGGCAGCAGGTCACTTGACGGACTTTTAGGCGCCGACAACGATGGAGTTTGGCGAACCAAGTAATCAAAATATTTCAAAAAGTCTCTTTTATGGCTCTCCAAACACACGTCCCTCCGACCTACCTCCACCTATATATAAACACCATGAAAACCCCATGGATTCTCATCAAAGCTCAAATTTAGCTACCATCTTCCATTATTCTCTTCTTCTTCTTCTTCTCATAACTCAGCCATGGCTTCTTCTTCTGGGGAACCCTTCATCGCAGCTTTCTTAATGGCTCTCACAGTGTCAAGCTTGATGAGTGGCAGCCTCGCAGCTCGTCGTCTTCTTCAAACAACACAACCTGCCATACCAAACATTCCTGGAATTCCAAGTAACTTGCCAAAACCAACAGGATTGCCACCTTTGCCTTTAATCCCAACTATTCCTCAACCCAAAATTAATGTTCCTCCTTTCCCCACAAATCTCCCAAATCTTCCCAAACCCAATACACTTCCTCCTCTTCCTTCCATGCCTAAGATTCCAGGAGTCCCGCAGGCCACACTTCCTCCATTTCCTAAGATTCCTTCTATTCCCAATATTCCAATAAATATTCCCCCCATCCCATTCCTCTCTCCTCCTCCTTCGAGTTGAAACCACAGAATGTTTCATCCCATGTTAGTTGCTTCACCTATTGGGGTTGTTAGTTCTCAGCAGTAATATGCTAGCATATATGTATTTGTGTATATATATAGACACACAAACACGGGTGATTTCACTTGCTGTTTTGGTTCAAGTTGCTTTACCTCGTGTGTCTGTATGTTAGGAAGAGTTTGAACGTGTCAGTGTGTTTCTTTCTCTCGTTTTACAGTGAAATTCCAAACAGTGTGTACTTTTTTAGTCCTATGAGGTCTTCCGTAATTTGTGTTATCACTTGCTAAATAATATTATATAATCATGCAGTTACTGCGATGTTCCTATCTGCTCTGAAACTTCTTAACCTTTTATTAATTAGCATTCATCTATCTTATTTATAAGCCACTTGTGACATATTTTTATCAAAACCAAAAAAATTTTAAATCTATTTTTTGGCTAAAACCTTAAACCTAACTAATTAGCTTAAAATTTAATATTTTTCAATTTCATCCTTATTTAATATACACTATAGTTCATGAGAGCAAAGTTACACAATACTAGAGAAATGGTAAAATTGTATATTCATATAAAAAATGTAATGATATGATTTATAAATAAAACAAAACGAGTACTCTTTGTCTATCTTATGAATGGAACCATAGAAGCATGATGACAGAAGACGACAAACAGAATACAGAATATAAATTCAATAGAGAGAAAGAGTTCTGGTTCTACTGAATAATGACCATATATACGAGACTCAAGATGACATGTAAGCAAGATGGCTTTGACTGTTTGACTAGACTCACAACTTAATCATAACAGACACTGAACTCTATTCTGATAGAGATAAAGAGAACTGTTTATTTTCCTAAACCTTGAACTTGAAGGCCTTCCCTCAACTGAAGGTAATGGTGGCCAAAGAGTCCTCACAAAATATGTAACTGCGGTGAGGCAAGTTAATTTTTTTTTCTTCTTTGGGAAAAAATGTTGAGAAGCAAACTAAATAAGTCACCAGGGCAAATAATAAGAATATCATAATATTGATAATCATGTGTTTGCCAAGAAAGGTCCTTTCAGGTTGATGAATTTCATTCTCCGTATCAGATTGCGATTCATGTGCATATATTAGCTATACAAAAACAAAAATTACATACTAAAACATAAATTCAATATGCAAAGTTTAAAGATGAATTTTCTACCAATTAATCTGAAACAATTAAAAATTATATTAAAATATAGTATCCTTTAATTCCATACGCTTAAAAAACGAGTTTACAATTTGAAACTAAGCGATAAAAAAATAAACAGTAGTTATGTCTTTCACAATGTTTGTGTATAATCCTTTAGGCTATGAAGGGAATAATGAGGAAAAACTAGGGGAGTGAATACTAAGAGGAAAATTTTTCAAATATATATATATATATATATTAAAAAACTTATTATTTTTGGGAGTTTTCCCCTTCTAGTATTTTTTTTTTTCTAATTTTCTTCCCATCCAAACAAAGAGTTAATATGCTTCTTATAATTTGTCTAATGAAGCTGCCTCAAAATAAAATTTCAATGGAGGACGACCAATAATCGATGGCCTAATTAATTTCCTGTTAGCATTATTGCATTCTTCCATAGCATGGCTCATTCAACAGGCATGAAGACGTAATTTATTGATTTTAAATGAGAGATTAAATGCGCTTGGGAGGTGTGATTATGACATTTTTGTCCTTAAAGTATTCCATGAAAACCAATTCTTATCCTAAAAATATATATTTGAGCAATGTTACCGATCAAGTATCTATCAAAGTCATTGCAATGTTATTCTTAAATTAATGAATAGTGGGGTTAATTATTAATTTCAAAGAGAGAAATTTAGGTTTGATCAATGACTGACATGTGGCATTTCTATGTGGAAAAGCCTTCTGTTTTCTTTTGATTATGTTGAAAAACTACTTGTATTTAGACTCTATTATCAGGAACCCGACTAATCCATCCTGACTTAACTGAGGTCTCTAGTAGGATGTTATTGTTAATGCCACAAATGTGATGCCACATTTTTTGATGAAAAAATTAAGATAAAAGTTATTTAATATTATTACTTATATTAAAAAAAATTAGGGTGTAGTGCTTGGTTATAAATACTCTTGGACAAAAAATACCCGTTTAGCCCATTTGTTTCATTCAGCATATAATGAATGCCTCATGGATGCCATGTCGACACATCCATTGGTCAAAAGTAACTCATTAATGATCGCCGTGGGTCTGACCACATTGCGCCCTTTTTGAAACTCTATTTTGTTTTTTAAATTTTTGGGGACATTGATTGCGATGCTTCTTCACAGGACATTTGAAGACAAAAATACTCTTAAACCCAATCTAAATTGCTGAAGATAACTCATGATTAACCATTATAAAAGGAATAACTTGAAGACATAGGTTGTACATTAAAAAAATAAAGTGAACGTTTCTTAACTTGTACATAGAGATGGTTTTTTCTGGTATACTATACATTGAGATATTTTAAATATAAGTAATAATTTATATAACTCTTTTTTAACAAGACATAACCCAAGAGTTTGTCAACAATGCATCCAAAAGATAAAATGAACACAGAACAATAACATAAAAAATAGCTGTGAAAACCCCATTTGCTAGAGAGACTTCCTTTTTGGGCTATAAAAATTAGTCTTCTAAAACGTTACAATGAACCCATTTAGTTAAACCATCTCAACGGGTTTTAATTCAAGGTCAATTATTGTTGTTATTGTCAATAATGTTGTTAACATAAGAAGCTTTTCATTTCCCTTTTCGGCTAACTACTATTATAATAAAATAATATCGTTCACCTTACTTCTGATAGTTCAATCTTATCAGTCCAACCAACCGCAAGAGAATACGTACCATACAGGAAAATTGGTGAACTAACAAAAGATCTCAAAGCGTCTTTATGGTTCTCCTAACCCCAGAAGCTCTATCTCTGCCCATATCTATATAAGACCACAAACCTCATTCATATTCTCATCAAAATTCAAACCAAAGAATATCTTCTTCCTGCATTGTCTTCTTCACTCTTGAACTTCATAATCCAGCCATGGCTTCTTCTGGGAGGTCCATCCTCGTAACTTTTCTTCTGGTTCTCACATTCTCAAGCGTGATGACGAGTTCCAGCGTAGAAGCTCGTCGTCTTCTTCAAACAACACAGCCTTCGATGCCAAACATGCCTGGAATTCCAAGTAACTTACCTAAACCTACAGGATTGCCACCTTTGCCTTCAATCCCAAGCAATATTCCTCCTTTGCCTACAAATCTCCCAAATATGCCAAAACCCAATGCACTTCCTCCTCTTCCTTCTATGCCTCAGATTCCAACAGTCCCACAGGCCACACTTCTCCACTGCCTAATATTCCTTCCATTCCCAAAATCCCAACCACTATGCCCTCCATCCCATTCTTTTCTCCTCTCCTTCTAATTAATCTGATCAGAAAATGGTTCATCTGTGTGTGTTGACTTAAATTGCTTTCTTGTATTATTTTAGCAAGTGAGGAAGAGTTGTATGTCACTATATGTCATTTGTCCCCCCCCCCCCCTATTGCTTTGGTTTTGTGTGGAATTTTATGTTATTGGTATGAGGTCATATAGAGTATCGAGTACGCTAGCTTGTTACAGTAATGCAGTTACTACACGCGCGCGCGCGCACACATATGATGTCCTCTCTTCTCTGATGAGACTTAATTATTTAGACACTATTGGTACTCTATATCTTTATTTAACACTGTTTTTTTACATTCTTGTGTTGAATCTTTCATTAAAGGTCCCAACCATTTGATTTCAAGGAAGAAGTATATCCTCGAGTGTTAATTGATTTCACCATTAATTTTGATTCGTTTAAATGTTGTACTTTGAAAAGTCATTTTTGCATTATATGGGACAAAACTCTTTTCATATATTTATCTTATATAACGTAAAATCACTTTTCTACAATGATTCCAAAGGGCATTCAATACAAGAGTTGAATTATAAATTCAAATTATTACGCTATTAATAACCTGTAAATCACAAATGTTCAATATAAGTACAAATAGTCGAATTATAAATTGTAGATTTGTAAATAAAAGAAATGGAAATCGTATTCAAACTATTATTACGATTAAAATTTAATTAGTTGTAAATAATTATTAGTAGTGGAATTGTAAAATTTTCAAATACCACATGTAGATAAAAGAAACCTTATAATTGGATTTTCACATTATTGACTTAAAAATTCCAAAAATATATTAGTGAATTATTATTAGAACCTCTCGCAAATAAAAACTAACCAACATCGAGATTTTTATGCAATATTTTGTATTACTAACTTATAGTCTCCAACAAAAATTTAGCAATTTACAGGTCAATGGCATTAAACAAGTAGTCTTAAATAATTTACAACACCGTCACTAAAATTTACTACTAAACTAAAGTATTACTACTAAACACATTGGTTGGGTCAGAATCTAAACATGATGCAGACAAAAAATGCTGATTTCAACATTGAAATAAATTGGAAAAACTAAATGCCAATCCTTATACTTTCCTTCCATTTTAGTCAGATCCTTCAACTGCTTCAACTTTTTTTTCTTTTTATGAACTCCTTCTTGTTTTCGCTGTTTAAGCCGTCCATCCTTGAATGTTAAAACTGTTATAACACCATTTGAGTGAATCCACATAGGACATGACCAGAGTCTTCTTTTTTACCAGATACCAAATTCTTAGGTTAAAGGCGCAACTTGCAGTCGCGTTATTATTCTGAGATTAAGCAAATACCCTGGATAGTAATGGTACCACTATCGCCTAGTAGAAAGGCTCCTACTCCATATTTATATTTGAGCAAACTAGATAGCTTTCACGCATTAAACACGAAATCTAAAATAATTTAATTCATTATATATAATGCTATATTTAATTTATTGAAGGAGACAGAGAGTGATAGAAGGCTATGAATCATAAGCGGGGCAAGAGACACAGGACATCCTATTGCTATTGAGCTTTTTAACCCTATTTCTTATATGTCAACACATGTACTAAGTAGCTACCATATTATTTTGTTCACCTCTGTTTTTGGACCTAAAACAGAGGAAAACATAGCAGCAATATGCTTTTTCTTGTTTCCATTATAAATGAATAGAGAGAGCCTTGTTCACAACCACAAAGACATTATTTGACTTGAAAACTTCTTCTTGAAGGTTTCATGCATCGACATCAATAAAGCCATAAGAATAATCATCACCCAACTCTCTTTCATCACTAATTCACTATCTTCAAATACCTTAATATCACATGGCTCAGCTTCATCTACATCGTGCCCGGGTTTCAACATATACCCAAAATATAACCAGTAAACTACAAATAATTCCTAATGAATGAAGCTTAGAGACCCAACAGATAAAAGCAATTTTCTCTCACCTGATTGTTAAACTCAGAGACTATGAACAGTGCTATTTTGAAAGCTTGTTACTGTTTTGTTCACTCCAAGGACAAAACTCTTGCAACAAAGCTTGTCCTCAACGCTCATCTCTTTTGCTTTTTTTGAATGAAATAACGATGCCAACAAATATGGCTTTACTCCAAGTCAATCTTACCACATTTGATCCAACTGGAAGCCAAGTGAACTTCTTTCAATGATGTTTTAACTTGGTTTGACAGATTTAGACAGAAGGACCAACGCCTTTAATGTTTAAAACAATAAGGATTCAATAAAATGAAAAAAAAAAAAGGTACGAGGACCTAATTAAAAACTGAGGAAAAGAATAAAGACCGGCATATTAATTCTCCCAAATAAATTTTTATTGCTTAAAGAGACCATGGTATTTTAAAAATTTAATGTCTTAAGTGTCATTAAGTGACTTTCAAGGTCTAAAGTGTCATTCTTCGAATTAAGGGTCAAAGTTTAGACCGGTCACAATAGTTCTACTTAATAGAAATCATAGAGAGGAGGCAAACTAAGTATAGTTCTCCCAAAAACTTGTGAAGGGGCCAATAAGTTATAACTTATAGGGGAAAGGAAAAGAAAGTAAGACCAACTCCAATATGCAGTTCTCCCACAATTAAATTAAGAAAAATTGGGAAAAAGACAAAAAAAAATGATAGTTAAATAATGAAAGCCCCAAATGGTCATCTAAATAACCAAAATTTCAGTTTCATTATAGTGACCAAATTAGGATTTGCAAATTTCCTAAAATAATCATGTTGTCCTTTTTTTTTTTTGAAGAAAAACACACCACCAGAGCTCTAGTACCAATGGCGGCTACTGATCACTAGAGCTCTGATGAATGATTGCTAGAGCTTCAGCAGCCAACAACTATTTTTTTAGAATTTTTTTAAGTCTGGTAATGGGATTAACAAGTTATTTAATGTTATTAATAAATTTGATATAGTAGTTAACAACAAATTTCTTAAGAAATTCAAAAAATAACATTTTTATAATTTTAGTAATGTGGTTAACAAGTTCGGTATAACATTTAACATAAGCTTTCTAAAAAATTCAAAAAGTAATATTTTTACAACTTCAATAAGCTAATTAACAAGTCATGTAACAATATTAACAACTATCATAATGCTATTGACAAATCTAATAACAAGTCATGTAATGATATTAATAACTCTTATAACTATAGTAACTGCCTAATAAATGGAAAAATTTGTTGTACAACTTTCATAGGGCTCCAATATTAAAAACATTAACTTTCATAGGGAAATTTTGTTAATGTTGTTATGAGAATTATTAATATCGGTACATAACTTGTTAACCGCATCATTAAAGTCGTAAAAGTGCCACTTTTTAAATTTTTTACAAAACCTGTTGTTAACTGCTATACCAAACTTGTTAGTAGTGGTACAGAACTTGTTAACCAAATTACTGAAATTGTGAAAATGCCACTTTTTAAATTTCTTGAAAAAATCTTGTAAGAAACTTGAAAAAATCCACCAAAAAATGGATACCAGCCTTGCTAACAACGAAGCTCCAAAGACCGGTCGTTGTTTTTTTTTAATAAACGAAAATATAGTTATTTCAGCAATTTGCAAATTTTAATTTGGTCACTTATACCTAAACTAAAATTTTGCTTACTCAGGTGACCATTTGGAGATTTTGAAATTTAGAAATCATTTTTTTATCATTCTTCATAAAAATTATTTACTCAAAATTATTAAATATCTGTGATAATTAAAATTCAATTTTCTGTTCATCATAAAACAATTTTTTGCAAAAAAAATTTCTTGTGTGAGAGAAATCAAGAAATAAAAGATGATTTCATAAAAGCGTCGAACCTGCTGTTACTGTATTGACTGGTCTAGATTTATTGGAATTGGAAAAGCTTTCCTCCGTAAATTTAAGACACCCAAACACCAAGACTTTGAGGTATGCTATTTGTTTTCGGATAATTCTAGTCTTTTTAATTTTAATTATAATTTTATACTCTTCCGGTCCTTAATATAGGATCAAATTATTGAGTTAATTTTGATCCTAAATATAAGATCTATTTCTCATATTTATCATTTCTTCCTAAATTACTTCTATAGATACTTCCTCGACCATATAATTAAGTAGAAGAGGGAGGGAGGATGTTTAAGAAAATGATTATGTGTTTTTAAAAAACATGTCATATTTCTTATAATTAACTAACTTACCTAACTTCTTTAATCTAATCAAATTAGTTAAATAGGTCATATATTAAGGACTAAAGGAGTACTACATATTTTCATTTATTTTAAAATTAACTTCTAAAATTCCTTATTTAAAGTACAATCTCTTATAATTTTCATTTCTGAATAGAAAATCTGAGTTTTTCGGTTAATTTCTTACAAAAAAATTCATATACATGTATATACACTCCCTGTGATCTTAATTGTACCGCAAAATTTCATAGCCTTACTTAATGTTAAATATAGGAACAAAGATATGGGGGTTAATTTTTTGGGAAAATTATGCAGGTTCTAAGGTAAGGAGTAGAATTTATTCATCTAAGGTCTCACAAATATTAAAATTAATAGCAGGTCCAAAGGGACTTCAGAGAGTATTATATTATAATGTAAAATGACATCACTACCCTTCAGGTTTTTCAATTCATAATTTTCTCTGCAAGTGCGATTCACAATCTCAACGGTGAGTATTAACAACCTAGTGGGAAGCTGTTGACAATCTAAATAGTATGCTTTAACAACTTACTTTATAAGATCACATAACCTCCACATAAGAGTAAATTATAACTAAATAGTATAATACAATAACTTTAACACTGAAATGGGAAGCTTCTTAAAGGCATTAAGAACTTTAACTAAACCTAATAGAATTATAGCAGAGTTTTAATGGGAAGATCCATTAACAACCTCAACGGTGAGTGTTAACAACCAAAAGGGAGCTGTTGACAACCTAGTTAGTGTCTGTTAACAACTGACCTTATAGGATAATATAACTTCTACATAAGATCAAAT